GAAAGTTGGATAACAGTTGATTTTGAAAGGCGGTTGCAATCTCCTTTACGGTGGCGTAGGATGGACCTACATGGTTAGTACTCAAACGCCTAAGTCAGTTTATGATTCAAGATGAGTATAGTAAAATTGAAGATCAGAGATTCTACATTCTCATAATATGTGAACTATTTTATATATTGGATTGAGAAAGTGGATTTGAGATGGATTGGTCCTTGGTCAATTGGACCTTTTTGTCGGTCCTCAACAATAACAAATTCTATATATTTTTGGAAATCAAAATGTAACACAATTATAAAATGAATTAAATTCTAAACTTAGTCAACAATATCACAAATTCAATCATTTATAAAAATAAAATATAATAGGTTTCAAAACATTTTCTGAATGTGAGTGAGGGAAAACAATTTTTTTCTTCTTTCTTTCATTTTTTAGATTTTTTATTCCCTACCCAAAACGATGTCAATTTGACGGGTTAAAAAACTAAACATAAAAAGATTAATTTGTCGATGAATTGACTAGGTCACACTGGTTTTCACTAGGTTAGTTACAACTACATTCTTATGACCTTATCGAACCACTCTACCCGCCACATTTCGGTATGGTCGGCCAGGGTCAGGTTTTAAGACACCTTATAGAAAACGTCGCCCTCTGATCCTTCAGGGTGCGCCATATGAATCTTCCCGCCTTGGGAGCAAGTCTATAGGATAATGCAATCTTCATCCCTAGATCTAAATAATTTCAGGCTTTTAGAGAAAGCATCCACCTTCCTTTGCTTACTGCACATGATGCCATAATCCTCAACCCCAAACTTCTTGAACGAGTTGGGTGCCATCATTAGCTTTGTGGTGTCTGAGAAAACATAAGGGGGAAAATAGTCACTGTCACCATCACACGCACTATCAAAATTACTAGTGCTCTCGTAACTCCTAAAAACACGTTTTTCTAAAAGCCTATAGTTGGTTGATACATCCTTCCGCTCAGCTTTCTTCCTGCAACATATGTATATTTTTACCCACTATTTACTATTCAAGGGTTTTATCATCTTACCACGCTCATTTAAATTCCTAATGATAGTCATTCTTAGTAAAGGAAAATTAAGAGAAAAGGTTATACATGTCGATGGGAAGAGTTGAACATAATAAGAAAATATGAAATAGTTTGAAGGAGATTTGTTCTGAGAAGTAAAGAACTCTTAAGCAGCATAAAGTAAAAAGAGTATGATATCTCTAGCTATAAAGTGTTAAGCCTAGGACAAGTAGGCAATGATCATTCACACACATGTAGGCAAAGGGTGATAAGGAACCTCAATGTCTCTGATGCGTGTAGAAAGAGTAATCATCTGTCGCGGCGCAAAAAATACTTGAGCGTATGAACGCTGGAAATCAACAAGAGTTGCCAGTGAAATTTTATTTTTAAAGAGAAACATCGATAAAACCCTTGTAGAACAAAAACATGGTCATCACAACCAAATTCAGGTTCGAGTGTCGGTTATGCAAGGGGAATGTATTAACACCCCTCACATTTGTTGTATTCAACGGGAACCGTTTAGTTACTTTTGTGAATAAGTTTGTTAGTATTAAAGTTTTTCTTTTGAGTTTCTTATGATTATTGCGTGTTATTTATAAAGATAAAAAGAAAAAATTAGGTTTTTGATTAAGGTGCTTGACAAGATGTTAAACCTTATACGTATCCTCTAGTGCGACAAAGAATTCAAAGCTACGTAGTTGTGAGTAGCAAATGGTTGTGGGTTCGTTGTTTTAAAAAAATGATGTTTAGGTCATACTGAGCGATTAAATATGCTTATTGCTCGTGCTTGGAGGTTGAAGTCTTTGTTTGTTTTGCGTCAAATGGATAAAGCATTACTTATTTGCGAAACTGTTTGAGATTTCATTGCACTTGAGAAAAACATGAGTATGATTGGTTGTGATTAATTTTAGATGGAAGACGAGTAGTCGGTTCAAGCAACGTGTATACTAAGTCTCTGGTACTCGAGGAACAAACGAATGTACATTTGTCTACTCCATTTTTAATCTAAATATACTTATTGAAAAAAAATAAGTAAATTTTTAGTTGTATAATTTGCACACCTATTTATACTAATTTTTAGGTTAACATAAAAGGAAAACAAGTCACAATGACAAATCACGATCAATTAAAAACAACAGTGACAAATCGTGACCAATTAAAAACAAGAGTGACAAATAATGAAAGATTATGTACATTATAATTTTTTATTAATTTATGAAAATTTAATTATTTTTATGATTAAAATAAATAATTAAAATTTAAAAATAAATAAAAAACACCTATTTAAAATGATATGAAAATAAATCTAAAATATTAAAAAAAAAATTAACATTTAACTTTTAAAATGATATTATTAAAAGGTAATGAAGAAAAAAAACAAATAAATGTAATGCTTCTAGAAAATTAAGTTAGTAAAAAACATGTCGGCAAAACTTAAGGTACGACATTATCCTCATTCTTTGTGTTTTTAAGAAAAAATCTATCATTAGTAGTATTTAATGTTATGCGTGTTGATGTCCCTGAAGCTTGAGGGATTCGCCTAACCTACGTTTGAGGGACTCACCCAAGCTACGCTTGAGGGAATTGCCAAGTTGGCTTGAGGAACTCGCCATAAGCCCCACTCAGAAGAACACATTTGAGACAAATCAACATATAAAGACCTCATGGCCATAAGCATTCTAGTTAAATCACTTTGTCATTTTCAAGTCCTCGTGTTTGAGAGACTTTGTGCTAGAATAATTTTATTATGTCTTAAAGAAGGGATAATCTATGAAGAAGAGGGAAAAGCTAAACACGTTAGCGAGGGGCGAGCTTCACGGTGAGACCATATGTTGTCTGAATTAGGTGATAGGCTATCCTATTGGATTTGAGTCGCCCAAAGTAGTCCTCACTTGCCCAATAATGGGTGATAACGTGTTACCATACGTAACCGACTAATGAGAGAGTTCATGAAAGAAATGACTTTCCTCCATGATTCTACAAAGACAAAGTTTCTTCTTAGCCATATTTTCAGATTATAGAATTAAGGTAAACCACTTTCTACCTTTCTAATCGAGATCCAATAAAATTATTTATATACTTGATTCTTTGAGTGAGAAAATATCGTCAACTTCTCTATAAAAAAAAATATTAAATAAAACTTCTCACAACTCTGTGTGAATTAATCTTACACATTGTCGAAATATCCTAAACATCACAAAATAAAACTTATACATGCATAGCTACTATAATTGTTTTTTTTTAACAAATATAAATGTCAATTTTGTTTCATTCTTTATATTTTATTTCCACTGAATTTTCATAAAAAATATATATATATATATATATATATATATATATATATATATATATATATATATATATATATATATATATATATATTTTTACAACTTTTAATAATCATTTTATTAACCTAAAAAGATTAAAGAAGTCAAAAGTTGATCATAAAGATTAAATTAATTTACGGAGTAGTAAGATAGGTGCGGTTAGTTGGGCATAGATTTGATGAATGTGGGGGCAGGTAGCTGTGGACCCATTAACTAGCTCCTGAGAATTAGAAGTGTAGTGTAGGACATGGGCGGTGCTACCGTTACTCTTACGCGCACTGCTTCTGTTTCAAACTCAATTTTGACGTGGAGAGGACAAGGAAGAGAGAACAACATGTGTTGTTTCCTCCAAACTGGACCCTACCACTTCATAAAGTTCAACTCACATATCTCACCAGTTTTTCCATTTATATCCTTTTTATTCTCTTCAAGACCATAAAAATGCCATATCCAGATTTCCAAATTCCATCCCTAAATAAATTTAATTATTTTGAATTTAATGTTCGAATTTATCATATTATACTTACTGTATTATAAAATTACATGTTAACTTTATTTTAAAAAATATTTGAAAAAAATAATTTTATTTTAAAAAAAAAATTAAATACCTAACTTTTAAAATGATATTTGGACTTTAAATTCTTTTAATATGTTGGATTAAAATACATTTAACATTGTCCTTTAAATTAATTAAATATTTTAACACTCATAAAGAATCACTATGATAATTCTTATTATCATTTTTTCTCTTTATTCCTCTTTTAATTTTCTATTTTTCTTAGTTTTTAATTGCAAATTTATCTTATAAAGATAAAACATAGATAACTTTTTTTAATCTTTTATCTTTAAATTTTCATTCAAATCATAAAAATTGATAAGATTAGGTGAATTGAAAATCTCAGAATTTGAATTTAAATTTTAAACTATTTATAAAAAATTATTGCTATTTTATTTATACTTAAAATTTGTTATCCATGTATTTCAATTATTTATTTTATTTTTTATCTAATCATTAATTTTCTTTGTCTTGAATTATTTATCTTATTTTTTTATCAAGTTATTAGTTTTCTTTGTTTTAAGTCATTTATCTTTCTAAAATAATAAAATAATATTTAATATTTTTTTATCAATATACCTTCATTATAATTTAATTCTTCTAACCATTCTATTAATTACTACTACTGAATTTAATAAATTGAAACTAAACAAAACAAAATTGCGATTGAGGAATATGTATAATGAAAGAATATCATTAAACCACCCCTCACTTTCAATGATTAATGGTAGTTGCGTAATTTACACCATCTCTAGTGGCACAATTATTTAGCTTTAGTGGGTGGCCCTTCAATTATACATAAAATTCTATAAAAGTCACAAATTAAAAATATAAATATTAAAAAAATTAATTTTAAGCCAATGGATTCACTAGGACGGATTCTTATAAGTTGTAACTTGCCGCTGTTTATAGCCTCTCTCAATTCCGCATACATTAAGCTTTCACCTACCACTTTATATAAACCCATTTCTTCTTTCTTTTTTCCTCTCCATTTCCATTTCTAATTCTCTCTATTTTCTCTCCCATCAAACCAAACACATTATTCACTTCTTTTCTCTCTTTTTCTCTTTCCCTACCCGCAAATTCCATCCATGGCTGGTTCTTCTCAACGACACTGTTTCTTAGAAGAAGACGATGGTATATCTTCAATCGCCGGCATCGAACCGGGATATTCTGGTCATAATCATTCCTCTTACAAATACGGTTATGTTTCCAGAACTTTAGGTTACGCCACTTTCTGTAATAACAGAGATCTAAGAAACAACGTGTATTCACCTAGATCTGGTAGATTTTATGATGCGAGATTCGAAGATCATCAACCTCACTTTCTCGAAGCTTGTTTTCTTTGCAAGAAGCCTCTCGGAAACAACAAAGATATCTTCATGTACAGGTAATTAATTTATCAATTAATTGATTAATTTTCCTAATTAGTAAATTTTGAAACCCTAGTTGAATAGATTAATTGGTTTTCTGTTTAGATTTTGATTAGATCTGTTTTTTTTTTTGTGATTGCAGAGGGGACACACCTTTTTGTAGTGAAGAGTGCAGGCGTGAGCAAATTGAGATAGATGAAGCGAAAGAGAAGAATCGGAACTTTTCTTCTTCAATGGCTTTGAGAAATAAAGAACAGAGAAAATCGGTTTCGCCAAACAAAGCGCAAGATTACTCGTTTCGTACAGGGACGGTTGCTGCCGCTTAATAATTAGAAGTTGAATTGAAATTGAAACTGGAAGTTATAGTTTCAAATTTCAAAGTAGGGTTAAGAAAAGGAAATTAGGGTTATATAAAAGGAAGAAAAAAAAGTGGAACTGTGTTCTCCAAAAAAAAAAAGAAAGTGGAAGTTAAGTTCTAACTTTGAAGTTTGTTTTCCTTTTACCACGGAGAAGGGTTAAGAACAAAGAGAGAAGTTATTCTGAAAAAAAAGCGATTTTGGGCAGGAAGCTATGTATATGGTAATATGGTTTCGGATGTTTTCTGTTTGTGGGATCCTCTCTATGAAATTGACCCTTTTTTTTTTATATATATATAATATATATATGTTGGTTATTGGTTATGTAATGTGTATCGAGTAGATTCAAAGTTTAAAAATGAAAAAACTTGATACGGGCATAAAAAAAAAATTGTAGTGTTTATTTTTCGGTTTTTGTGTGAGATCGAAGAGTGTTTTATTAGCTGCTATTGTGGCCTACAAGCTGCAGGAGGAAGAACATTGTGGAATATTGGGTGAATATAAAATTTTGAAGTGGGAAACAGACCAGGTATTCTTATTTTTAAGAATCAATCAATCAATAATTATTAGACATAAGAAAATATGTGATGGCTATTGGCTAATATCAGTGTCAAAATATCATAGCATTAAATTATAAAAATACTGTTGATGATATTTTTAAGTAAAATTGGAAAAAAAATGTTTATTGATCTGTTTTTTCATAGATTTTTAAACTTTGAGAGTAAAGGAGGTAAAATAGAACTGATATGTATAGGAAGTTAATTTTAATACTATCATTTTTATTTGTTGGTTCTAAGTTGTTATTAAGAGATATTTAAAAATATTGAGTTTTATAATCATGAATAAATGGGTCTCTCTCACAGGACATAACAAATTCGTGATTGTTCAAGAATTTGAAAAGAGGAAACAGGAAATAGAGTGTCCTACACAAAACAATAATTTAATAATTACTTTGATGACGAATATTAATATAGACAAGGTATGGTCCTAAATGGACATTAAGGGACCATGTGTTGTAGTCTTGTAGATAAATTAATATTTAAAGAACTAATTTTTAGTGAAAGTATTAAAAAATATATATCTTCGCAAGAGAAAAAAAAGTTTTAAGAAGCCCTTAAATAGCAAACATGCTATCTTAATTGTAAGAGAAAAAAAAAAGAGTATTATATCTTCGCAAGTACTTCTTTTAGTCAAGCACTCCTTAAATATGTTGCACAATTTTGATAATTGATAGGCTAAGGGTTGCGACTAATAAAATATCTTTGAAATATAATTATTATTTGTTAATAAAATATTTTTTTATAAAGATAATTAAATATGAGACATATATTTTTAGAGTTGGTTGATAGTTGTAGAATTTATGAGTTAGATAGAAAAATTCGGTCAACTTATTATAAGAGTCTGAGTGAAAAGAGAGAAAAACAAAATGTGAACTATGGAAAGCCTTACAGTGCTCCAGTTGATAAGGGTAAACAGAAAGTTGTTGATGGTAAGAGGCCAGGTGGAGGAGGTGCTCCTTCTCTTCTTAAGTGCTACAAATGTGGTGAATTGAGTCATCGTGTTAGTGAGGGCAAGAGTGATGTGAAAAGTGTTACAAGTGTGAGCAGTCTAGACATCTGATTGCTGACTGCAAGGTTAATGTCGTGACTTGCTACAACTGTGGAGAACCTAGACATATCAGTACTCGTTTTCAGAAGTCGGGACAAGCTTCAACTGAAGGAAATGTGTTTGATATGTCAGGAACTCAGACTTCCAGTGATGACAGGTTGATCAGAGGTGTGTTATATTAATAATACGCATTTGATTGTTATTAATTATACTGGTGCTACTCATTCTTTTATTGCTACTGATTGTGTGAAAATGTTTGGCCTTGTTATTTCTTATTGCGGCCCAACGCGGTGGTACGAGGCACTTTAGCGTTGGTTTGTATGCTTTCGGGTATGCTCGACAAATAATGTTCGACGGTGCGGGGAACTGTTTGATAGGCTCAGGTAGTTTTCGGGCAGGGGAAAAGAGTTCAGGTCACGTTTGTGTCCTGGGTCCGCGGCATGAACTTCCCATCGTGGGCTAGGGGTTCTGCCTTTCATGGTACTTTCGTGATGGCAGGCTCGGTCGAGGAACCGTTGTCGTGCATGAGTTAAGTTTATTTTTTACTAAATCATGCTTAGATCCGTGTTGGTGGTGCAACGCTTGTACCTGGGCGCGCGCCTATGGTCGGTGCTTGTGCTCGTCGCTTAGGCGAGACGTGCCGACAGTGAGGGCCTTATTTGTAATATTGTTTCAGCTTTTCGGCATTCCATAGTCGAGCTAGTTTTTCACCGGTAAAGTATTCTAGGTAGTAGGCCTCATTCTCTGTTTTTACTCTAACACGGTAGGGTCCTTCCCAATTTGCGACGAGCTTTCCTTTGCGGAAATCTTTGTGATTCCTCCTTAGGACGAAGCTGCCTACTTGAAACTCTCGTCGTATGACCTTGGCGTTGTGCATAATTATGATGTTTTGTTTAAGTAAGGCCTTACAGAGGACTGCTCCTGGTCGGACATCTTCGACGAGATCGAGTTCTTCTCTCAGGGCCTCGTTGTTCGTTTCTTCGTCCAAAGGCGCTTCAGTTTGCCTGGAGGGCTTGTGAACTTCAATGGGGATTACCGCCTTTGTCCCGTATGCTAGGAGAAAAGGGGTTTCCCCGGTCGAAGAATGAGGTGTAGTGCGGTAGGCCCAGAGCACGTTATGCATCTCCTCGATCCACTGCCTCTTTGTTTCGTCTAGCCTTCGCTTAAGGCCCCGTAAGATTACTTTGTTCGCTGCTCCAGCTTTCCCGTTAGTCTAAGGATGCTTGACGGGCGCAAAGTGTTGTTTAATGCCTAGTTAAGCGACGAACTCCTAGAACGTTTTGTCCATGAACTGTGTCATGTTATCTGTGATGATTGCTTGAGGAATCCCGTAGCGGGCAAGAATGTTGCTTTTGTAGAAACGAAGTATATTGTGGACCTTTATTTTGGCCAAAGCCTTAGCTTCTATCCACTTGGTGAAGTAGTTTATGCCTACTATCAAGTACTTATTCTAGTTTGACCCTACGACAAATGGTCCCAGGATGTCTAGGCCCCACCAGGCGAATGGCCACGGGGAGGACATTTCCTTTAGCTCATTGGGCGGCGCCAAGTACATGTCCCCATGCCGTTAGCATTTGTTGCACTTTTTCACGTGTTCCCTTGTATCGTTTTGCATGGTCGGTCATTAGTAACCTGCCCGAAGAGTTTTCCTCGCGAGAGATCTCCCCCCGAGGTGCTGAGCGTTGATTCCTTCACGGATCTCGCGCAAGACATGGGAAACCATTTCTTCTTCAACGCATTTGAGGAGAGGTATGGAGAATCCCCGCATGTACAACTTGTTTACGGCCAAATCATAGGAGCATGCTCCACGCCTTACTGCGATGGCCTCCTTAGGGTCGGACGGTAGTTCATCTTTTGTGAGATAATTGTACACTGGGGTCATCCAGCAATGGTTGTTGCTGATGACGGGCACGTCTAGGGTCGTGGACTCTCTCTCAATGCTAGGTCATGGGAGTATTTCCTGGATGATGGATTTGTTTCCTCCTTTCTTCTTCGTGCTTGCTAGTTTTGATAGGATGTTTTCCCGAGTGTTGTGTTCGCGGGGAACGTGTTTTACCTTCACGAAGGTGAACTTTACCATCTCCTCCTTAACTAGGGCCAATTATTCGGACAAGTTGTCGTTTTTGACCTGGTATTCTCCCCGGACTTGGAGGGCCACTAGTTGAGAGTCGGTGCAGATGACGATTTCTTCCGCTATCAGGTCTTCGGCGAGGCGCAGATCGGCCAAGAAGGATTCGTATTCGGCCTGGTTGTTAGAGGTGGGGATGGATAGTGTGAGTGAAACTTCGATGAGGATTCCCTCCTCGTTTTCCAGGATGACACCTGCCCCGCTCCCAGCTAAGCTGGATGCTCCGTCGATAAATATGACCCACTTGCAGGTGCCCCCGTTCGGTTGGTCGGGCACGGTCATTTCTACCACGAAATCAATTAGTGCTTGTGCCTTTAGGGCCTTTCTGCTCTTGTTTTGGATGTCAAATTCGGAGAGCTCCATCGACCATTTAAGCATCCTGTCGGCCATACCTGGACGACCTAGTAGATGCTTTACGGACTGGTCCGTGTGCACCACAATTGTATGGGCCAGAAAATATTGCCTCAGTCTTCTCGCAGTGTTGATAAGGGCGAGGTCCGCCTTTTCTATCTATTGATACCTTAGCTCTGACCCTTGCAATGCCTTGCTCGTGAAATCGATGAGTTTCTTCCCGTCAGGAGTTTCACGAATGAGGGCGACGCTCACAGCCTCGGTTGCGACAACGAGGTAGAGATAAAGGGTTTCCCTGTTTTCTGGCCTAGAGAGGACTGATGGTTCTGACAGGGCTTGCTTCAAGTGGAGAAGAGCTTTATCACATTCCTCCATCCATTCAAATGCGGATTCCTTGCGGAGGAGATTGAAAAAGGGGAGGGCGTGTTAAGCAAACTTGGCTACAAAGCGGGAAAGCGATGTGAGCATCCCGTTGAGGGACTGAATAGACTTTTTTGAGTTCGGCGTGGGAAACGCAAAGAAGGCTATGTACTTGTTGGGGTTAGCTTCAATTCCTAGTTCAGTTAGATAGAAATTGTGGAACTTGCCTGCTCGTACCCCGAACGTGCACTTTTTCGAATTAAAGTGCATCTTGTACTTCCTGGCCTACTCAAAGACCTTCCTCAAGTGGGTCGTGTGATCGGATTCCTTGTGGGACTTCACGATTATGTCGTCCTTATAGACTTAGAGCATGTCCCCGATTTCTCCTCAGAAGACTTTGTTCATCATCCTTTGGTAGGTAGCGCCATCATTCTTCAGGCTGAAAGGCATTATGTTGTAGAAGTAGTTTCCCGATTCGCTCATGAAGGTCGTGTACCTCTTATCACCTTTCCCCATGGTTATT